TTTGCTTATAGAGGATAGGTTATTCTGATGAGATCATCTCTTGTCTCAACTCTGGCTAACTTTCCTATGTAATAGCATTCTTGTTGAATATGACATTAATACGAAGTTTTCGTTAACTTGGCCTGTCTTCCTTTTTCAATGTTTTCCTTTATCATTCAAATACATTGAAAACTCAAGTTCTAAATATTTGTCTGGACATAAGTGAGAGGACTATAAAATCGTTGCAGTAGTTACAGGTGAAACACGAAGCGAGGAAGCCTAGGGCATTCTCTAAAGATATTTTGCAGGCTTGGCTGTCCTTCAGCATTTCTGGGCCAGATGGTGCCCAGATCATGCGTATACAAGGAAGTGAAAGGAAACAGCAAACTTATCCTGATGGACAGAGACAAGGGAAGCCTTTGCACTCTGACAGCAGCAGGATTTTGCATTGAAAGTGCTCACTTTTGGAGACAAGGTGGGCAGAAGGAAGCAGGGACAGCTAGCCAAGCACTGGAGAGGGATCTTTTAAATATTTGGCGGTCTTTAGCCTCTTATTGGAACAATTGTGTAGGGTCCTTCTTAAATCTTCCACTCGGATGATACATTTCCCTGTAATCCCCAGTGAAATACTATAATCCTTTACTGCTGCCTAACTTGCTTGTTTTCTTTCCTTCTGTCCTTCCCTGCTTCCTTCTTTACCTCCTTCCTTACCTACTTCCTTCCTTTCTTCATGCCCTCCTTCCCTCCTTCTCTTTTTCAGTCAATAAAAGTAATTAGTCACGAGATTTTTTTAATGATAATATTACTGGAAATTCTGGAAGTACAGATTAGTACTTATTTGTGCTTTCATGTGTGTGGGGGGGTGTGTGGGTGTATGTGTGTATAAAATATGCACAAATCCATAGATGGAGAATGAAACTTAAGGCTACTCATGTTTCATTGGCAATTCACAGAATATATGGCAAGCTTTGGAATTACTAGCCCATAAAGTCAAAAATTAACTAGAATATTCTTTCAGCACTTTTCTTCAAGCCATCTATTGCCTCTGATGGTGTATGGCAATTAAAAATAAACAAACAAATGAACTCAGTATGTCCATTTTTGAACAGCTTTCTTCAGGATATAGGACCTCAGGTTCTGTGTTTAGGAGGTACTCACAGATTTTGAGGAGGAGCACTGCCTCTGCAACGGTTTTGCATGCTCAGGATGTGTTTTATCCTTAATGGACTCCAGCTCTTACGGCTGTTTTTAATGGCTGAATTTTTTTAGAAGACTTTGCAAATGCAGGCCTGAAGTTAACTATGACACACTCAGCAATGCAGTAAGAGTGAGCAAGCCAAACTAAGTTGCCTCAGTCTATACTGAGCACAAGTAAGTCTGCAATTAATTATTCATGTGTCATTCACCAATGAGTCACTGTAGTTATAAGTAATTGCCCATTTGTAAAGGAGTTTATTGTCACACGATGTCCTTGGAGGCCAATTTTCCCTTTCTAGATTCAAGTATGGAGTTTGATATTCTTGTGGATAATGAAAATGCCTACAATTAAAAGAGTTAGTGCTACCACAATTTCTAGACAATAAAGTAAATAATATTTTTCAGAGTAAACTTCTCCTAGTTACATGGAAACTTACTGAAGCAAGAAGGAGACATACTGTCTTATATTAACTCATAGTCCTTTTTGGTTGCTGTCAGAGACAGGACACTAAAATGTGCGATCTATGAGCATGCAAAGCCCAATTGTAATGTGTGTATTCTGAGACCTATTGAAAATATGTGTTGTAGGACAAGAGGAACCAAATAAAGCAATGAAAACAAAAAACAAACAAACAAAAAAAATCAGTTTGATAGCATTGCCTTTAATAGCAAGGTAATAAATCCATGCTATAGTGAATTTCATGATTACCGCTTAAAGATTACAACATAGGAATTCAGGATATCTTTTCACAGGTGGCTGCAAGCAAATCCAGACTCTCTTTGCCTGTGTCCAGGAGCTGTAGAGCTATGTTAGCACAGCATTTTGCCTAAGCCAATAAGCAGGCACAGAGCTGCAATACCACAGCTATACGACTTCTGAACTGGGGGGGGTCCAGTCTGCTGACATGTTTTTACGTGGAATCTTGAAGGCTGGAATTCAAAGTGTTTAGACTCATGCTTCATAGCTGATAAGAAAAAAAGGGTATGTTTTTCTTAGCAGGCCGCTCTGCTGATTAATAGGTTAGGCTGGCTATTTTCAGGACTAGCACTATAAAGTAAATAGGTGAAAAGCTATGCTGCATTTTTCTTGAATATTTTACAAGCTGGAGAGGAAACTTTATCCAACTTACTTGAACTTTAACAGAATATCTGTCTCAATCATTTTTCCAAATCAGATACCTGCCTGAGCAAAACCCATGGAAAAAGGACTTGCTGGCTATGATATTCAATTAGCAACACTTATTGACAATATTGTGAAAGTACCAGTAAAATCCAGCATCTGATTCTATGCAGGGTCCAACAGATGGGAGACAGAACTAGTCCTGGTAAAGAACATTTTGTTTTTGTTAGGTTAAACTTTTTTCCCCCGATTTAGCTAGCCCATGTGAAGAGTAGAGTTCTGAATTTCCTAAGCCTAAAATATCTTTAATTTCTTAAAAACTCTCGCAACAGACAGGCCAGTCAGCATCTGATTGTCCATTAGAATGCCTTTTCTAATACAATCTCATCAGTTGGATGAAGAATATGATGATGTTTAGGGGCTAAATTGAGCTATATTCAAACACCCTAAATAAGGTTCATAGCCTTTTTCTTGAGCTGTCAGTTCAGCCTTTGGTTTCTGAATCATTTGATGGCATTGATCCAGGGCTGCAGTAATGCTGAAAGAGACATTGACCACTGCATAAGTGGGTGGAAAAACATCATTTAGCAGTTAGCTGGGTATATCTGCTGAAAGTATGTCTGCAATTTTGTGAAGGCAATGCTGTTACTAAGAACAGATTGGTTTCTGAGACTGCCTCAAAGCCAGCCAGCTGTAGTTAAACCCTCAAAGGCTGACAAAGTGCATTCCTCGTTATATCAGTGGAGTGGAGGGTTAGATTAAGTTACCTCCTTTGAGACAATCAGTGATGAGTTTCCATCACTAGGATAGATTTTACTTTTTATCCAATCCAAAGGGGACCTCAGGCTTTGCAAATGTTTTAATAGAAGTGAACCAAACACTGAAACAATACATATTTATGGGGCTACCTGAAAGCCTGAAGGTAACCACAACCCACACCACAACTTCACTGGATGTAGCAGTATCAGTAACATTTGACAGGAGATCTTTGAAGAAAGACTTTAAACATTTAAACTTAGTACTGAATTCACCTTGGAAACTGAAGCAGTTTGCACCAGGTACCAGAAACAGAGCAAGGGACAGTAGGATGAGTTTTTTGCTGTGTTTACAGAAGGCTAGCATATAGTTATGGCGGATTTTCTTTAGACATCCTCATAGGGCCTTATAACATTCACTGACATCGATATACTTAAGTAACTGGTATAGTTGGAGCTAATAATCTCAGTATTTATTTTTCTGTGCTTATTCTGTGATACTACATTTATTTAAAATCTCTGAATAGCACTTTTCCATCATTTGTGACAACCTATACGATAAGTAATGAAGTTAAAGCAGATCAAACTCAGCATCATCTGAAGACAATCTGAAAGCAATGACTAAGTCTCGAGGATAAACAATGAACAACACATACCTTCATATGCTGAGAGGAGTGGCATGCTCTCATAGAAGGGGAGGCTTTTTTTTTAATCTCCAGCATCAATTTTACACACGAAGAAAAGAATTTGCTCACTTTGCCCAACTGCTGCTGTACATTTTATTGTTGGGAGATATAAGGAAAAATGCTGTTTGTTTAAACTAACGTTTCTACCACCACTGGGCCTTTCCCACATTTAAACCATACCACCTAAAGCCCAAGAAAAGATATAGTGCTCAGTACATGCCACCTGGAAAATCCTGTTTAGAATTAGGTGGTGTGATCAGCAGATCAGATAAGTAATGTCTGCAAAGAAGGCATGTTTGTTTTAACTGTTGAACTGAGGAGGTTATAGAGAGTTTAATCTTTGGATTACAAATGTAATTGACATCTCACAACATTTAAGGCCAGATCCAAAACTCTTCTTGGCTACAGTAGGCTTTGGACTTGTCTCTAAAGATCTAAATGTACTGTATCAATATTGCTGCAACTAACTCTATGTCCTTGATACACATTGCAGTGTTTCTCTGTAGTCATTTATAGTATTCATTCCATTTTCCCCTTATTTTTAAATGTTCTAAATTCCTAATAGGCATGATATAATTATTAAAGTTCTCTATAATTACATTTGCACTGAATCCACTTTATGCGTTTATAGGACTTGGATACAAAACAATGCCTTAGCCAAACTTACTGAGCAACACAGGAAAGATAATAGAGTGGGGCAATTCTGTAATGGTTATTCATAATGGAAAAAGTTAGTGAGTTCAATAGGATTTTTTTTCCTATTAGATTCATCATAGACACTTTTTTGGATTGCCCTCAGAGAAATATACTTACAAATGGAAATATTATCACAAGTTAGCATTGGACCCCAAAATCCAAATAAAACAATGAAGCAACACAGACTTTCCTTCCTATTCTGATTGCATCACTGGAACCACTGCCTAATAAAGGGATTTTGTTTGAAAAAACTTCCTTCTGTGTGTTTTACGGTGCTGTGTGTCTGCATTCCTGTTCATTTGTACGCTTGATTAGCTGAAATCAAATACAATGATGTGGATCTGCAAGCAACCATAAAAGCTCAAAGTGAGCAAAACTAACAGCAAAAAATATCCTGAGCTGCCATCTTCATGGGAATTACTGTACAGAAAGCAAAAGAGCTGACAAAAAATCATGTATGTGTTTTTCCTTCATGTTATTTTGTCATTATGTAGCTGCGTAGAAGCTTGCCCTTTAGCAGGCTTCAAATAGGTATGTAAACAGGTAACAAAGGATGTATTGTTTCAGATTTAGACTGTCTCTGCCTCATATACAACTATCCTCTGGCCGGCAGCTGGAAAGAAGTGGCTAGATTTTAAGAAATTCTGTAAGTATAAAGCTGCGAGATTTTTTTCCTCTACCCATGATCTCCTCTATGCTTTAATGGCACCATTGACTTTTAATAAGTTGCTCTTTTGGGGGGGAGCAATAAACTGTATAGATTTTGAGAGTGAGAAAGTATTTCCATCTTTGTAGTTGATGTTGTGTCTTCTAGGGTTGAATCATTGAATTGATTCTTATTGTAGACACCAGTTCAAATGAATGAAAATGTAATTGTTTGGTTCCTAAGATGAAAAGATCGGTGGAGAATGATCTCATCCTATTGTGTTTTCTGAGCGTATCACTTATATTAAGATAAAATAAATTAACAAAATAGCCAATCAGAAATCTAACCAAGGAATCTTGCAGTCATTAAGTGAAGCTAAAAGAACTCGAGAGAAAACTTGAGGATATAGTGGCTATTAGTTAATGAAATAGGAAATATATTTGTAAAACAGAAAATGTACCTGAAATCTTCTTTTATAACAACCATATAGTCATTTGAATGATTTTGTTAATCAGATGAGCATAATTTTTTGCATTTATATTGCTATCAACATAAATTTAGCTGCTCAGTCTTTGATAGTGAGGCGTGTTTGGTAGCATTGGAAGAAGTGAAGTGAAGGACAGAAGAAAAATATATGATGAAAGTAGATGAAAGATCATACAGATTTCTTTAGTTGAAGCTTATCTTAAATGAATCTTAACTTCAACAATTAATTTTGATGTGGTACTTTATTTAAATTCCTGATTTGATCATGCACTTGTTGAAATCAACGATGTTGAAAAGTTCTGTAATTGGATTATGTGGAAAAGGAAGTTTGTGACTAGAATACTAAATATTAATTTTGTGTTGAGATGAAAATAGTTACTCAGAGGCCTAAACAAATAGCTGAAACACACGGATGTCACCAGGTATTTCAACAAAGAAAGCATAGGAAAATGCACTTTGTATATACCAGGTTTGATAGAAGAACTTTTTTTGAAAGATCAAGTCTGTACATTTCTTTGATATAACCCTTTAAATGTCTAGGGTCAAATGATTCAAATTATTTATTACATTATATTTGAGTTCTGACTGTTATCCTGTACTATATATAAATAGAAAAGTCCTGCTTCCCTGGAGATTATGATAAGAGAGCAGCTTCTTGATTAGCAATGATCTCATGCTGTGTTCCAATATTTGCCTAACGAAAATGAAATTAGTTTTTTTTGCATGAAGAAACCAATTAGATAATATCTTGGGTGGAAATTCTTGACTTATACACTTGTTGACTGAAGAGAGCTTTCTGACTTTTGCTTTCAATTTAAGCACCTTGAGCACCTTTTGGTTGATGGGTTGTTTTTAACTCTAGTAACAAAGTAAGTAATGAGAGAAATTTCGTGGCACCTTTGAGCTGCTGTAGTGTTTTAATTTACATTGGAAAGAAACTTTATCATAAAATTTATTCTTAGTGGCACTTGTCCTGTATTTCCTGTAGTGTTTGCTGGTCCTGATTATTTATTTATTCGTTATTTATCCATATTCTGTCTCATATTGGGTTGAATTGTACTGTTGTCGTCGATGGACACCTGGGGGAATTAACTGTCTTGTTCTATTGTTTGTGGAGGATAGGCGCAGGTCACATCTAAGCTTGACTGTGGGATATGCCTGAGTGTGCCTTGGGGTCCCCCTGACCCACCTCCCAGCTCTGATCATAGCTTCAGAGAGTTACAGTGAAGCCAGAAAAGTTTTCCTGGCAGCGTTCAGAACTGTAGCTCTGCCTATGGTAGATGTTTTCACAGAAAGTGTGGGAAAAATAGATAAAATGGCTGCCCATAGGCTTATGTATCTTCTGGATCCATTACAACTGTATTTATGTCACAGTTTTCTGGAGGAAAATTTACAGGAATAGGCAGCTTATAAACAGAACATGGCTTAGTTTTAGTTTATTATTTATTTCATCAAAAATTATTGACAAACTCCCGCTAGTCCACAGGTGCTCTCCGGTGGCCAGTATATCTTCAAACTAATTTTATTTACTCCTAGTCCAGTAGAAATCAGACACAGAACCAAATTGCAATGGCTTAACAAGCTGCCACTTACAATGTGAGCTTTTGTAACTGCCCATGGACCTGCTTTTAACATGCAGCAAATAAAAAGTGACTTAATCAAGCTTATACCTCTTTCATGGCAGACTAACTTTGAATTATGCCACATTTGTCATGGTCTAACCATTCACATGAGAGTTACTATGACTCAGCTGTCCCACAGGAATTTTTCCAGCAATAGTAAAAACATTGTTTGTCCAAGCACTTCAAATGAGATGCACCGGAATATCTTTCCTCTCAACCAAAAGAACTCAGTAACTGCACTTCAGAAAGTAATTTTCTTCAGTGATACATAGGTATGAAAAAAGGGGCATTATTATTTCTTTCCCATCCCCCCCCCTTTTGAAAAAAACAATTACTTCGTTTGCAACACAAAATAATATTATTGTAGCAATATATTTCAAAAGTTCTGGGCCACTCTATTCACTGTCGACTTCTTAAATAACAAAACAGCATTAGGCATCCTCTCTAACATGATTATTTTATGTTATCCTCAAATGCCGTTTGAGCTATATTAGCTGGCATAATCATTTGTCAGTGCAGGAGCCGCAGTACGAGCACCTTGCAGAAAGAAAGCGCTCTCAGAACATGTGCGAAGTTCATTTAGGATTTCTCTCCGAGGCCAGGAGCAGATTGCTGCAGCCCAGAAAGGAAAGGCCGGGAGCCTTTGCCAGTTCCATTTCCCCTTGCATGAATGCTAATATGCTCACAGAAACTTCCTTAGACGTCTCACCGCAAACTCACGTGTTTGCACCGCTCTGGCAGAAGCGATCGCTACCAGCTGTGTGGAAGAAATACCCTTAACCCGTATGGAGAAGTGAAGGACCTGCATAATTCAAGCCGTGAGCCTCAGTGTTGAGGCAGGACGGCTCCGCCTGGAAGTGCTCAGTGCCGAAGCCCCGTGAGCGCACCCGGACTCGGCAGCTAGCGGTACCCTCCCCGAGGCAAGGGGGCTGCAGCTGTGCAGGCTTCCAGGCGGGCAACTCTCAGGTTCAAAAACATTCATCGGAAAACCTGCATCTGCACAAATCACAGTTCTGAGGAAGTTCTGGAGATAGTTGTCATTGTGCTGGAAAGGAAGAAGTGAAAAACCAGGAGCTTGCTTAAAAAAACACAACAGCAATGAGTGTTTAGTTTCTTCCCTGTGCTGTCTGGCAAGTGACCTCAGCAGATATGCGAGTGATGAGCACAGGATGTCAGGAGACTCATTTGAGTTCAGTTTGAAACCAGTTTATGAGCAGATAGGGATCCATCTCCTGTTGTACCTGCTCAGCCATATTAACTGGCCACCTACCACAAAACACGGGTCTATGGAATAACCTCTGATAAATGCACCGATGCTCTCGAATGCAAAGGCACACTTATTACACACTTAGTACATGCAGTTTGGGAACTCACTGGTATACAGAGTCAGCAGTTTAATTCCTTCAACCAGCAGCTCTGAACTCCTGATGGTCCTTGTCCAAGCACTGCTAATTTAGTTGGTTCTCCATTAAAATTCAGCAGCAGCAGTTTTCCAAGTTCCTGCTTTAACTCCATGCTTGTGAAATGGTGACACGGCAAACTTTCTCTACATTTTCTTCTCTTCTCCCAGGGAACGTATGGATTATTTTATAGAAAAAAGGGGAAAATAAGAAAAAGAGAGAGAGAGAGAGAGATGTTGAAGTGCAAACCAAACAGCTTATTAATATGGCAAAGCCAACATAATGCCATCTGGTTTATGTCTGCTTCCCATTTGGAGCTTGATCCTGCAGGGTACTTAGTACTCAGGCTGTTTTCTGTGGCACTCTCCAGAGCATGCTTAATGTTAAGTGCTTTACTGGATCGTGGCCAAAGTGCTGAGCACCTCACAGGAGGTTATTTCACTTTTCTGGTTTGTAGAAAAATTCTTTTCAGCTCTGAGCCCTAGCACTTCTGACTGAGATTTTTCCTTCCACCTCTCCCCCCTTTTTTTTTTTTGTATATTTAAAAAAAAAAAAAAATCAGTGCCAAGCAGCACTAAGCCACTAGTTATCCAGGCTACTAGTTAAAATGTTGCTCTCTGCCTTCTGCGTAAATTCCAGTACAGTCCCCAGAGAGGACAATATTTTAGCCTGAACTGAGGTCCTACCAAGTTATTTAAAACTCCTTCTGTTCAGGCTGTGAAAAGTAAAAACCTCCTGATCTGCAGCTATAGAGAAGATGGGAGAATACGTAATAAAATCTCAAGTATTGTCAGCATATATTCCAAAGGGGCAACTGACTGTTAAATAGATTGAAAAAAATCCCTAGAAAACCAGATGAATGGGAACTCGTGGTGCTTGGCAATGTGCATTGTAGGAATTACTACAGTTCTGCCACTCTGAACATGACCGTCAGCAAGATGTGCACCTTTTGTGTACTGAGCTTTCCTTTTTCTCCAATAAGAGAGAATATTTGTGAAGAGTAGCCATAATGTACAATTCCTAAACAAATTTTCAAAGTGTATAACCAGATCTGCAGTCAGTCTGAAGATGATAATTAGAAGGGAATGACAGAGCGAGCAGAGAAGCTTTTTGCTGTCAGAGCAAATCTGTTCGGGGTTGCAGTTTCACAGTTAGACCGGCGCTGATGCCGGCATAATTCCCCTGTGAACTGATCATTACTCAGCTCTTTAAAACTCTTGAAATGTGCACATGCTCTGCGATACAGTCTCTCCCATGTTCTGCACACATTTTTGTGTCCATACATACATGTGCGGGGGTCAGTATTAGTCATGCACAGCGTTATCTGCTGTGGTACATAGCTGTAGACACCCATAATATTAGTTGTATGGAAAACTGCAGTCAGCTAAGAGACACCACACTCAGCAGCAGCAGCAGCACCTTACCTGCACTCTGCTCACTCTCCGCTTCCCCTCAGCAAAATTTTACCAGGATTGCAAACCTCCGACCACCT